TTGTGAAATTGTTTCATATAATACTTAATGAAACTGTTTCATGTATTTCTCTAACATTAATGAAACTGTTTCATGTATTTCTCTAACATTAATGAATCTGTTTCATGTATTTCTCTAACATTAATGAAACTGTTTCATGTATTTCTCTAAAATTAAAATAATGAAGTTGATAATATCTATGATTAACACCCTCTACAATAAAAATGATTAATCAACCTCTCATAATTACAAAAAAATGAACAAAATAAAAAATTATGATTGTTTGAATGCGGTTTGCACGGTTTGTACAAATTGAGTGGTTTGCATTTGATCGCTCCCCCACTTATATATACATATATATATATATATATATATATAATTAATATTAATAATATTTAATACAATATATATATATATATATATTAATATAATTTATATTATTATAATATTTATATGATATTGACACACACACATATATGTGTGTGTACACACACAGAGGAAGATGTTCATTTGAGAAGTATTAAATTTGTGAGAAGTATAGAAATGATCCTAGACCTTAGATCAAATGATCAAATTACCCGGTGCTTCACATTCAAACCCCAGATCTTGATAATTTTTTAAAGGAAGGGTAATATAGTAACTAGAAAAAGCGGAAGCGATAATCAAGATCGATCCCATTAACCATTAACCATTGATCACTTCATCCTCATCGTTGATGACAACAGAAGTATGGTTGGTGATATACGATCTCAAGTCCATTAACGATTATATCATCGATTTCTCTCGATTCTTTCTCGATCATATATCTCAATTCTAGGTTATCAAAATTATCGAATTTCTTAATCTCTTAATCAATTAAATAGTTCATATGTGAATGACATAAATATAATTCATATGTAAATCATTCGGGTTCATATACGAATCAGTTGAATAGTTCATATGTGAATCGGATAAATAGTTCATACGTGAATCAGTTAAATAGTTCATATGTGAATTACATGGGTTCACATATGAGCATATAGTTAACATGTGAATCACACAGGTATACATATGCACATATAGCTCATATGTGAATCACAGAGGTTCACATATGCATTTGCTTGCCACCTATTTGTAAAAGATAAGAACTACCCCTCTATCTTTCGCATAACTGTTACCATGCGACCAAATTATCCGGTGCTTCACAGCAAAGCCACAAATCTTGTTTAAATTTTTAAATGACGGGCTAGGATCACTTCTCTACTCACACATTTAGCACTTCTCAAATGAGCCTATGGCTACACACACTCTATATATGATATCTTGGCGCTATCTTTGGCAACTCCCAGACGCAACCTCCAATGTTCATGTCCCCTCCATCTCCCCTTACTACCCATAATCTTTCCTTCATCCTCGCTACTGACGACCGTCTCTACCTACACTACCATTGATCTCCCCCTCAAAACACCCTTGCCTCCCTGTCAAACGCCAATAAGGTTGAGCACTACCTTCACCGCTGCAACTCCTATAATTATGGTTTTCCTCCCTCTCTTCACAATCTGCTAACTCCATCGATCACCAACCTCAGCCCCTTACTGTGATTTCTGAAAAGAAAGAAAAAACAACCCTTCTTATTTCTCTTCCTTTACTGTCGATTTCAGAAGTGGTTATAACTTATAAGTGTGTGTGGGTTTTGTTGCATGTAAAGAATATTGGAGAGGGATGGTTGATAACACCAATTTTGGTGTTATTTGGGCACTAATTTCTATGAGATTTTGCTTGAGTTCTAAGTAAAGGAAGCATATTTTTCATAGTTTATTGCAAGTATCGCAGGTGCAAATCATTCGAAGAAAATATAACAAAATTGGGAGTTAACTGAGGAAATAATGATGTAATCGAGCAGTTGTATTTCAAGGACCAAAGTGAAGAATTGTTGAAGTGAAAGGATGAGTCAAAGTCCATCCAAGAAGTGAAAAGTCAAAGCAGTGACCAGGGGTACTTTCCAAGCTAGTTTGATTGGTCAAGCTCGTTTGGAACTCTTGGGCTAGTTTGTTTGCTAGTTTAAACTAGCGACCAAACTAGCGAACATCTATGAGTCGATTTAAATCATTATCACTGCTAGGGTTCGAGGCATTTAGCAATCTATCTAAAAGAAGGGCGACAAGAGGCGATTTTGGGGAGATTATTTTATCCAGATTAGGACGTATTGAAGCAACGAGACCATTGAAAAGCAATTCRTTGACAGGATCAATCTATTATTCATGGGTATTGCGATTCAAAGAGAGGTCTTATATATTTTAGATTTTTGTTCGAGAGAACATTGTTTAGATTCATGAATTCTTCTATTGTTTTGCATTACAATAACCCCGGCATGAACTAACCTTTAGAGGTTAAGGGTTGGGTTACTCTTGGATTACAAACATATGAACATATAAAGTTGTGATTTGTATAAGACTTTTCTATTTAATGAAGCATCTGATTTAAAGGTTAGTGCTTTTGTGAGTCTGATCAGTTTTCAATTGATTGGTTGCTATAAGTTAGATTCGAGAGAATTAGTTTGTAACTGGAATTGGGATGATATGCAGGTGAGAACTTGGATAGAGATATACCAACTAAGACTTAGTACACTTTATAATCTTGTTTCTAGGGAAATTTCTAGTTGCAGGTGTTGATATCGAGAGATAAAAGAATTGTTTTTCGGGAATAACCTTGTTATCATTCTAGAGAGGGTATCAGGAGTTCGAGTGATTGTGTATTCATTAGTTGAATTGTCCAACAATAATCCAACAGAAGTGTTTCGTGTGTAAAACCCCAACTCCCAACTGTTTTTCTCCTTATAACGTGTCCAAGTTTCACTCTTGCAGCTCTTTCAGATTTCTCTTTGTTTAATTAATCAGTTAATTAATTAACCCAATCATCCAATTCAGATTGTCCAATTGATGATAGTTATAGTCATTGTGTTACTTACTACCTAGTTCCTCTGGTTCGGTACTCATACTTAGTGTACATATTGCTTGATTTGACCCATACAGTTGTGGTTAGATTTAAGGGGGGTGTAAACCCGCCTATTAATGGTTCTATATGAAGAAGATTGGAAAGGTTGAGTGGGTTATGTGTGTGTGTTTTTGAAGGATGACTGGATGTGGGACGACCAGAAGTGAGTATTTCACCGATAGAGGATACAAATCAAGAAGGGTTCTTTTCTAGTGTTTCGTGTGTGTGCATGTGAAGGTGGCGGTGGTGTGTATGAATATATATATATGTATGTATGTATGTATGTATGTATGTATGTATGTATGTATGTATGTATGTATGTATGTATGTATGTATGTACGTATGTATATATGTACGTATGTATGTATGTACGTATGTATGTATGTATATGTATATGTGTGTGTGTGTGTGTGGAGGAGCGATTAAATGCAAACCACCCTGATGAGTCCAGATTTCATACAAACATGATGTAATCTTCATAGATCATGATGAACATAAAGGTAGAAAGAAGATTGTCAAAAGATGATTAGATTGATAGAGAGAGAATATTACAGCAGTAATCTTGATCAATCTGCTAATGATGATTGTTAATTACAATTACAAGGAAATCACTATTTATACTAGGAAATTGTAAAGGCTAAACTATTACAAAACAACTATACTAAGGAGAAACTTGAATACAACATTAAAGCACTAACTTGAACCCAACATTCTCCCCCTTTGGATTCAAGTTTGGACTCTTGTAAACTTCGTTTTGCGCAGTCCAAGGATTTTCTCTAACCTTCTCAGAGCATTTCTGTACTGAATCTTCTCCTCGAGCAAATTTATAGCGTTGACGAGCAAGTATCTTTCTTTGGAACTCATTCGTTTAGATTCCGCAGCCTTATCATCCATCACCCTTTTCAAGTCCAACGCCCTTCTTACAAGCATAATCGTACCGTCAGAATACTTGTTCAACTCACTGAATCTCATGAACTTTTTGACTTGAAGTTGAGCGAAGTGGATGACTCCGAACTCTGGGCTCTCAAGAACCATGTAGACTGGATAGCCGTCAATGTCTTCTAAATCTTGATTAGGTCTTTTGAGATTGATGATTCGTTGACTATCTTCAAGACCCATTTGAATATCAATAACCATTGAYARYTTTACATGATTTCGAATGAATCTCTTAATAGCCTCCAGAGCTACCAGTTATCCTTCCTTTCTAATTGTCATGTTCTTGAGTTCAAAGTACATGTATTTAAGATCGTCCAAATATAAGTTCGAGAAATCAGCTTCGCTGAATCTCCAGATCTGGCCATCCTGCCTTGTAACTTTAAACACAGGATACCAGATTCTAAGCAGTTTCTGAGCATCAATCTTCTTGATCGTGACGATTCTATGTTTTGTACGAACTTGGCTGATAGGCTGACACTTGGCTTTCAAGAGGTGACGATATTCAATTCGATAATCTTTTGGCTTCTTGTGGATTCCTAGAACTCTGTCACCACTAAGCAATTTTCTGTGACGAATGAATATCCCATAGTAGATATCTTCCAAGTATGGCTCTCGGATTCTTTCGCGATCATAACCAAAGAAGTTTGCTCTGATATGGAAAGGAATGTAATTCTTTGAGAAGATTTCGGTAGGATCAACAGTTTCTCTTGGAGTACTGACTTCAGGCATGTCAGGTAAAGCAGCAGTAGACGATTCTGGAATAGACTGAGGATCACCTTGAACGGGAAAAACTGGATCTTMTTCATCTAAGTCAGCTTCAAAATCAAAATACATTCCAGTTGACTCGTCAATGTTATCAACGTCTTCACCAAAATCCTACTCTCCACCCAAAGTAGTAAAGAATGCACTGTTGAACCCTACATTGGCAGACAAGTCCATTAACAACCTTGTTTCTAATGTGGAGTCCGCCGGCTTTTCAACCATTGGCTCGATCCTTGGACTTGCYTCCACTTCTTCGTCTTCAATAACAACAGCCTCAATTATTCTTTCCCGAACTGTTTCCGGGGCAGAACCTTCAGCAGTTACGTCCTGAGGTAATGACTCTTCATCCATTCTTGCACCTTGATGAGATGTCTCAGCCAATCTCTGCCTTTTCCTCTCCCCCTCATGACTATCAGGATCATCCTGAT